TTAAAGCATACGATTCGATGGTTTTTAGTATATTGGCAGACATGTGCAACCATCACCACAGTCATTTCAGAATATTTTCATCATCTCAAAAAGAAACCCCGTGTCCTTTAGCTGGAGTCCCTGGGTGGTGCAAATAGTTTACACACTCAGCTGCTAACTGAAAGGCTGGTAGTTGAGTATACCCAGAGGTGTCTTGGAAGAAAGGCCTGGCGATCTACTTCTGAAAAATCAGCCACTGAAAACCCTATAGATCACATTTCTACTCTGCACACATGGGGTTGCCATAAGTTGGAATCTACTTGATGGTAACTGGTATGGTTTTTGTTTTTGTTTTTTTTTTTTTTGGTTTGTCCTTTAGCTATCACCCATATGCCCATTTTCTATTAAGGTTTTCTTACCTTTTTAATTTTTTAAATAATACTTTATTGTGTTTTCAATGAAAGTTTACACAGCAAATTAGGTTCCCATTTAACAATTTCCATACAAATGATTCAGTGACATTGATTACATTTTTCACAGTGTGTCAGCATTCTCATTATTTCTGTTCGGGTTGTTCCATTTCCATTAATCTAGTTTCCCTGCCCACCCCCCTTACCTTCTCACCTTTGCTTTAGAATAAATGTTGACTGCTTGGTCTCATATAGATGATTTTTTAAAGGAGCATAGCACTTATGGGTGATATTGTTTACTTTATGAGCCAATCTGTTAATTTAGCTGAATGGTGACCTCTGGGAGTAGTTTCAGTTCAAAGTTTAAAGGGTAACTCAGGGCCATAGTCTTGGGGATTCCTCTAGTCTCAACCAGTCCAGCAAGTCTGAACTTTTTCAGAATTTGAATTTTGTTCTACATTTTCTTCCTATTCTGTCAGAGTCTGTCTATTGTGTCCCTAATCAGAATGGTCAGTAGTGGCAGCCAGGCACCATCTAGTTCTTCTGGCCTCAGGGTAGATGAGGCCGTGGTTCGCGTAGGCTATTAGTCCTATAGAGTAGTTTCTTCTTTGAGTTTGTTTCTTTCTTCTCTTTTGCTCCAGATGAGTAGAGACCAATAGCTGTGTTTTAGATGGCCACTTCCAAGCTTTTAAGACCCCAGATGCTACTCACTCAACTACGATGTAGAACATAAACTTTATGAACTATATTAAGCCAATGACCGAGTTGTCCCACAAGACTGTGGTCCTAAGCCTAAGGTATTTGATTATGTCTAAGAAGTATCCGTAACTATGTCCCCTATGTGCTTTCTTGTACATATGAATATATATGCAGCACATACATACATGTATATACATATGCCTATACCCATTACCCGTTGCTGTCAAGTCGATTCTGACTCTTAGCAACCTTATAAGACAGAGTAGAACTGCCTGATAGGGCTTCTGAAGAGCAGCTGGTGGATTTGAACTGCCGATCTTTTGGTTAGCAGCTGTAGCTCTTAACCACTGTGCCATCAGGGCTCCTCATATGCCTATAGATACACCTGTACATGCACACACATATACACACATATACCTACCTATACATACCTACCTATGTAACCACACACATATTTTTTGTTGTTGTTGCTGTTATTTCGAAATTATATGTTATAGCACTTACCGAAAAAGTCCCTTATTCTCGTATACTTCTTAGTGACATCATTTACCTTGCTCAGATTGTGCACACTTCACCCACATTTGGTGTTTTCTTTCCCATTACTGAATATAACAAGTATCTACTGTCTAAAGAGTGATTCCCCCTCCCATTCTTGGTAACCACCAAAGAATGTTGGTTTCTGTATATATACCTATTCTTGTCTTTTTATAAAAATGAGATCATAAAATATTTGTCCTTTTGTGATTGACTTATTTAACTCAGCATAATGTCCTCCAGATTCATCCATGTTATAATATATTTTGAGAACTCATCATTATTCTTTATGGCTGCATAGTATTCCATTGTATGTATGTACCACATTTTGTTTATCCATTAATCTGTTGACGGGCACTTAGGTTGTTTCCATCTTTTTTACCTTTTTACTTTATAAGCTGTGTTTATATTCTAAGATCCATAATTTATAGTTAAATGTTGTAAAACTTTCTGCCTATTTTTTTTCATTTGCCTTTTATCTTATGGTATTTTTTGAGGTGCAGGAGTTTTAAATTTTTATGTAGTCAAACATCAATCTTTTCCTTAATGGTCTCTTTCTCTGTTTTTATGCTCACATTCAAAGATACCTCTAAAACATAAATCTGGTCATACTCTTCCTTTGATTAAAATCCCCTCAGGGCCCTTGGGAGCCCCCAGCCTCCTCCTGGCTCTCTAACCCCAGCCTACCATCACTCCATAGTCACCTGAGGTTCTAGTCACGCCAAGCTTCTTGTACTTAGGACTCCGTACTCAGGTCTACCTCTTGGAAAGCCAGTCCTCCACCAGCTCGCATTGGCCCACACCCCATCTCCCGCCCCCTGCTCCCGTGCGTTATGGAAGACTCAGCTCAGACATCACCAGTCCTTGACCCTCTTCTTCCCCTTCATCCTGCACAGCACCTGGTACCCAGAGAGTCTCAGTAATGGTTTGTAAAATAAATAACCCAAAACAACAAGCCAAGTCCAAAATAGCTAGTATGAGAATTGACTCTTAGGACCAGTTTAGAATCAGAAGATTGGACCAAGTTGCTGGGGACTGAGGCTCGGCTATGAGCAATCGAAAGAATTGAGGGCCGAGCCCCAAGGCAGAGTGCTCTAAAGTGGTGGACCAGGGCGTCTGGGGGCCGAGCAGCCAGCAAAGGGCAGAAGGCCCTGTCAGCCGGGAGGCCTGGTGGCTGGGGACTCAGGGCCTGGACGGGGTTTTCCCAGAAGGTGAAGGGCAGCGTCAGGGAAAGGCTCATTTCTGACAGCACCGGGCAACAGTCACCTGAGGTCCCAAACTGGAAAACTAATTTTACCGTCAGAACCGTCTTCCACCTCCACCCCTACCCCTGGCAGTCTTCCCCACACCAGTGAATGGCATTGTCAGCTTTCTGGCTTCCCAGGCCGGAAACTGGACTCACTTAACTCCTCCTCCTAGAATCCCTTGATTCCTCTTCCTCCCACACCCCACATCCCATCTGTCAGCGAGGCCTGTTGGCTCTGCCTTCAAAATACAGCCAGACTACATACTTCTTGATACCATTTGTATGACATTCTAGAAAAGGCAAAACTGTAGGGACAGAAATCAGATCTGTTGCCAGAGGCTAAGGAAGGGGTGACTACAAAGGGTCCAGAAGGAATCCGGGGGCTGATGGAACTCTCCGATGCCTTGAGTGTGGTAATGGTTACACAACTGTATGTGTTTATCAAAACTCACAGAACTGTCCACTAAAAAGGGCAAATATACCATAAGTAAATCACACCTTGATGAAAATATGGAGCCCTGGTGGTGCAGTGGTTAAGAGCTACGGCTGCTAACCAAAAGGTCAGCAGTTTGAATCCACCAGCCGTTCCTTGGAAACCCTCTGGGCAGTTCTACTCTGTCCTATAGGGTCGCTATGAGTTGGAATCGACTCAATGGCAATGGGTTTGGTTTTTTTGGTTTTAATAAAAATATGGGAAAAATATACCCAGAATCCAACAATTTCTTACCATCTTCACTGCTGTCAACCTCATCCAAGCTCCCATCATAATCTTGGCTTCTGATCGCAGTGGGCTCTTCACTGCTTTCCCTGTTCCTGCCCTTACTTCGCTGTAGTCTGTTCCCGGCGCAGCAGCCAGAGTGGTTCTTTAAAAAAAAAAATTCAGATTGTGTTGCTCTTTTGCTCAGAATTCTCCAGAGGTTTTGCTTCTCCTCAGAGTAAAAGCCGAAATTCTTAAATGTCCACCAAGACCCTATGTGAAACAGCCCTCCCTTATTTCTCTGGCCTGACCTCCTCCTAATGCCTCCCACACTCCCCTCCCCACCATTTCACTCCACTGCAGCCACAACGGCCTCCTGGCTCTTCCTTGAACATGCCACACTCATTCTCCTCAGAGGAAAAGGCGAAGTTCTCACAACAGCTGCCAAGACCTGCGTGATACAGTTCCCTGTCTGGTAATCTCCTAAGGCTCTCTCCCTACCCAGCTGCTCTACCCCAGCCACACCAGCCTCCTTGCTCTTCCTTGGACATGCATTGCATGTTCCCTTCTTGAGGGTCTCCATCTAGAATGCTCTTCCTCCTGATTCCCACTCACCTGGTCCCCTCTCTCATCTCTTTCAGGTCTGTTCAGATAGCATCTTCCCAGCGAGGCCTTCACTGAGTACCCTATTGATAATGGCAGCCCACCTGCCACCCACCTTCACACCCCCACTCACTCTCCTCTCTCCTTGTTTTATTTTTCTCACATCTCCATGTCTCCACCTGCCCTACCACATATTTTATGATTTAGTTTGTTGTCTGATTCCTCCTCATATCCATGAGAACAAGGGTTTTTGTTTTATTTGCTACTAACCCTCCAGTGGTGTCCCTGGGTGGTGCAAACAGTTAACACGCTTGGCTGCTAACCAAAAGGTTGGTGGTCTGAGTCCACCCGAGGCGTCTTGGAAGAAAGGCCTGGTGACCTACTTCTGAAAAATCAGCCATTGTAAACCCTATGGGGCACGGTTCTACTTTGACACACATGGGGTCACAATGAGTCTGAATCAACTTGGTGGCAACTGGTACCCCTCCAGTATCTAGTATAGTATTATTTGCCTGGCAAATAATGGACACTCAGTTAAATTTTGTAGATGGAAGAACAGAAGAGAAGAAGAAAAGGGCCCCAAGAACCAGCAGTGACGGTAATCTTACATATCGACATCCCACTGCCCCTGAATTTCACTCAGTTGCTCACCATAGATGGTCTTAGAAGACGTGGAATGTCATACAGGTCTGTGTTTGCGGGCACAGGTGTGCACGTGCACACTCCTAGAACTGTTTTTGGGTAGTGGCTCACCTTCCTGCCTTTCCACTTTGTTTTGCTGTTACCTCAGATTGTTAAATTAACAGGCACCTTCTCTCAAATGTCTCTCTAGAAGCAGATGTTCCAGGAGAGGAGTAGCCGGATGCTGCAGGCCTTATCCCCGAAGCAGAGCCCTATGAATAGCCCAACCAGAAGCCGCTCCCCTTCTCGCTCCCCGTCACCCACCTTCCCGTGGCTCCCGAACAAAACCTCACCCCCCTCCTCACCCAAAGCAGCCTCAGCCTCCATCAGCAGCATGAGCGAGGGAGACGAGGATGAGAAGTAAAGGCTGCTGGCAGATGATAAGAGCCACACCACACAGGTTGGGGAGGAGGGTGGGGTGACGCGGGATGCCTGGGTGGTGTTGGGAAGGTAATAGTCACAGAAGCTGCAGCTCGGCAGGGAGACCCTGGCCTCTCTGGTAAGGAAGTTCTCCACCCAGTCCAAGACTTGGGCTCAGCGTGGCAGTTTCCAGCTGGACAACTTACAAAAACATTTTTAGCATCACGTAGAATCACTCTACTTTAACCTTGTTAAGAAAAGAAGCAGAGTGCCACAGGGAGACATGCACTGAGTAGGGTGTTCTCTGCTTTGATCCCTACACCCATCCACACCAAGTAAACCAGCAGTGGAAGCGGCTGTTCCCTCAACCTGCTACTTCAGGCTACATAAAGGCCCTGCACGTTGCCTCCCACCACCCCAGCTCTGCCGGAATAAAGTTGTTTCTAATACAGGTGGCAAAGTGCTTCTGAAATAGTCAAGTGAAAGACAAATTCCAGCCTTCCCAGTTGAGCCACTGAGACCTGATGTCTCAATGCATCAACTCTTTCCAGTTCCAGGAATGTTGCTTGTAGACAAAAGCCTTGCTTTCAGCCAGATATAAAAGGTCATCTAGCGTGAAGCTTGACTTCTTATTCACAGGACAGTTTTGTCAAGGAGGACTATACATAAGGCCTCACGCTCTCCTGGTTGTACTTTTTCATCATGGGTTTGACATGACTGTTTCCCAGAAATTAATCTGTGGGAAACGCAACACAGAAAAACAGCCTATATATATTTTAAAAACAGGAGCTGCTTTGCTTTGGCTCCAAGTTTGGCCAATGGTAAATGTCTCTCCTGAAGCTACTCCTTAAAGGATGCTATTATGGGATGGCTTTTCCCATTTCTGACCACTTAATAGTTTCATAGACCTCAAGTAACAGTTTGACATACCAAACCACATAGTATACCAATAGGGGGTGCTACCTGCACGTTTCTGTTCTATGTATGCTCCAAACATGCCATCCGGGGTGTATACTATATGCAATATGAATATATGGTGATGGCATTTTACAATATACTCCTCTCCTGCTCTCCATCCTAATACCCAGCTGAAACCCTTGAACTACCCAGTTCCCTTGTGAGTTGGGCACTTCATCGAAAGTTCAGCCTGGATTCCCGTAGAAATGTTTTGTCCCAACCAGGAAATTAGTACGTTGTTCTTGTGGCCTCCCCATAACACTTGTGGGTGAACAGAGGCTCTGAAGAGTTTTACACAGAAGTTTGGGAACCCCAGTTACGATCTGCATTTCAGTGGTCTAGCTGGTATTGTAGTTATTCCCTAGCCCCAGGTTTGCCAAATGGGATGAAGACTCTAAGCATTCCTGCTGAGTTATTTTGAAGTTACTGCTCCTTAATGTAAGAAATGAGCAAGACTTTCTTTTCACGTGAGTCAAGGTCTAGAGCCAGACTCTTGGGTAGAAATAGGCATTGGCTGGTTATCCTAGCAAAGCCAGAGACAGAGCTGGGGCCTGACTGAGCACAGGCCCAAACCAACAACTTATAGGTAGAGCCCAGCATCTCTTGTGACAGCAACACCCTTTTCAGAGGCTTTGGGAACCAACCTTCTAGGTGACAAGAGGGACAACCAATGAAGGAAGGTGGCATGTCTTTCCCCCTTGTGTTGGGGTCAAACTACCTCCCTGCCCACCTGGAGATGAGTGGTGTTTGTTGGGAAGCAAAACTATGAGCTAAGCTGACTTGTAATCCCCTTGTTCCTGGCACTTTCTCTGGAACTCTGTATAGCACTCATGCAGGGCAGAGGACTGGTAGGAACTTGGCATGTGAGAAGAAATTTCTTTTGCAGTCAAGGCCCAGACCCTTACTCTGCAGAGAGAGGCAAAAATCCCATTCTTCTATTGTGCCCATTTGGTCTGTATCTTCCATCATGCATCCAGGATGAATGGGCACACATGCTTCCCATTTTGGTTGGTTTACACTTGTAGCAGCAAAAGGATGAGGTGACCAGTAGGCAAGGGAAGGTGGTAAGAACAAAGGAAGAGAAAACAAGAGGTGCCTGAAGAGAGGAAAGGGGGATAAAGAAAATCTGCTCTTAAGCCATTTCAGAACCTCACTTTGTAGATCAGACTCTCTCTTGGGGAGGCCTTTTATGCCCTTACTCCATGGCCCAGGGCAGATAGATCCACTTTTACCTGACTCTTGCTCTAGAGCAAATAGTGTGGGTTGATGTATCAGGCTGATTAAATGTTTGCAGGCCCGATACACCATACTGACAGGTGCCACCTACATGACTTATCAGATTCAGTGCCACCTTTGCTGCCAATTATGGGAAATGACCAATGCGTGGGATATTCCACAGGCGGGCCAGAACAACCCACAAGTGGGTTCTAAATCGCACCCTGCATCTTTTCCCAACCTCCAACAATACCTCCCCACTCTCTTAAGGCTACAAGTCTACTGAAAAGGAATGGGGGAATTCTCCAAACCAACTTTTGATATTTCTTGGTCATTTCCCAGTTTCTCTAATCCACCCCACCCCCCACCCCCCTTCCCAGGAAGTGATAGAATTGCTCTTTGTTTGGGTTGTCCAATCAATTGTAATGGCTGAGAGTTAGTTAAGGCTGGAATGGGAGATGTAGAAAAAGTATGATACAAGCTTGGAGAGGTAAACGGAAATGAAAAGCAAGGAAAGAGATTCTTTTTGCCGTGGAAAGGGAAGGAAGCCTCAGACCAAGGAAGGCTAGAGGACAGCAATTTAGGATTGTGGAAGGGGGCAGTTAATGAAGGTGGGAGAAAACAGGGCTGAAGCAGGGCTGTAGGTGAGTAGCTATTTTCGGCTCCCTTTTAAGTATCAACACGCAGAGCTAAGAAGTGAAGAAAGGATTCCTATCACATATACTTAAGGTTAGTGGCTAGGGATGCAGGATGTGGGTTCCCTGCCTCTCTAGCTTCCTCATTTCGGTACTTCAGCATTAGCTGCCACATACTCCTTAGGGGGACCCTGAAAGCAAATGTTCACTCCTCTACCAGCTAAGAAACGAGGGTGGCACTGAAATGTCATGGTCATACTGGATGCCCTATTTCTGTCAAGCCCCACTCCTGTGTGCTGGGACCTTACAATGGCCAGGGAAAGCCAACCTCAAGAGGAGCAAGACACAAGTCTGGCTTCTGACTTGCTTTGGGTGGAAGGGACACAGCTGGGGGAGTCAGGTCTTGCTCCATGCCTTAGGCTACTAGTTACTGTGATTTCATCCTTTGAGGGCGGGACAGAAGGAGCTCAGATTGATTGATTTTCTTTAGGACTTATTTTAGCACCCAGTCATATCCCAGGGAGAGATGCGAGATGGCGTCACTGGCTCAGCTGAGTCTGATGAGCTCCTGTCTAGCAGAGATGTTCCTGTTTCTCAGGCATCCGTTCAGCACTAGTCTTGGCTGTCAGATTTTGGAAGAATTAGGTCATGAGGCATTTGCAACTTATCCTACTCTCTAGACTTCAGTTTTTTGTTATGTCACTGCAATGTGTCCAGGGACAAAGCCATAAGAAGTGCATACATCCATAAAGATATGTTGTACGTGTAAGACAAGAATACAACCATGTGTCTGGGTTAAAGCACGACCTTATACCCAAGCATTTGCTCTGGTGCTGAATAATGCAAACTACTGGAATCAGCCTCCTCCCCACTCCAATCCTACTCCTGCTCTCAAATGGAACATTCCCAACTTGTTTATAAATAAAGGGATGCAGAATTGCACTTTTGCTTGTCGTGTTTCTTAAAAGTGTGCTTCTGTGTGTGTTCCTGTTTATAAGCTCTAGCACGTTATGGAAAACTACGGGCATTATAGCAGCTGCTCCGGCCCACTGGCTGTCTCTGCCCATGGCTCTGAAGCTATGGCCCCAGCACTTCCGAAGGATCTGACTCTGTGCTGTGCAGAACAGGCCAAAGTTTTGGAGTTGCCAAAGGATCTACATTTGCTAATTAGAAACAGACCCACTGGGAGTGGAGGTCTTGTAGTAGCCAGTCAGGAAACCTGAACTATAGGCTCTACCATGAACTTGCTCTGTGACCTCAGACAGACCACTCCACTTCTCCAGCCTCAGTGCCTGCTTTTGTAAAATGAGGGGTTGAATAGTTTCTGAGGTCTCCTTTGCCTGTGAAGGACTCTGAATTTATGAGGCAGCCCGCATTGCCCCCAAGCTTCTCCTAGCCTTGATGCTGTCACTAAGCAACCAGGAAAAGTGCTCAACTCTCATTAAGTGGGAAATGGAGAGATGGTCTCTCGCCCCTTGGAGCCGCCACAACTGATGGCATCGGTGACTGGTTTCATGCCTCAACCTCCACATCTCAAACATCAAGATAAAAGATTCTTGGGTTCCAGTCACCTTCCTCCTCTTGCCACCTGACAGAATGCTTTTCAAATGTACCTAAACTTTGGGAAGGAGCCATTTTGACCACTTTTCCATCCTTGGGAAAAGCTCCTCTGATCAGCTGGAGGCAGAGAGGGAAATGGAGGTGGAGATGCTAAATCAGGATCCCAAATGTCAACAGTGAAGGCAGCTGTTGATGATCTGAGAACTGCAGAATCACTGTACTCAAGCCTCCACTAGTGGAGTGTAGGTGCTTCCATTAACTCCATCTGGAGTGGTATAGCTCTTTGAAATGGTAACTGTTCTGACACTAGCCTAGACCCTAGAAGAAATGGAGCCAGGCCTGTAGCCAGCAGGGGCATTAATTTAAAAACGGAGTACCACATTACTTGGCTTTGCCACACAGATCAAACACATTCTCGACAGGTTGTATTTACAGCAACAGTTACAGGTTTCTTCTTGACTTCTGTGATACCTCAGGAAGTGTTCTCAAGGGAAAAACAATCAGCCCCAAGGTGTAATAAAACAAGGTGTAATATTTAAGGACCCTGATATCTGCCCCCAAAGAGAATTAGCCTTTGCTAATAAACAGAACCCCAGAAAAAAGGTACATTATGAAAAGTGTTTACACACACACACACACACACACACACACACTCCTCTTGTATTGGAGTCCTCATTGATTATTGGAATTGAATTTCTAAGCAACTTCTCCAGATATTCAGCAGGTACTCCAGGTATTCAGCAGACTATTTGATAGACTCCCACAGAAATGCTTTTCAGACAGAGCTGGACAATTCCTAAGCACCAAAGTATACCCAGTGATCAAATTGTTTAAGAAAACATCAAGTAAAAACCAGTAAATTACCAATAAAATCCGAAGATATCATTAAAAGCATAAACATCTGTAGGTGCTAACTGACCCTTACGCTAGGCTCTTATGCACTGCCATAACTTGTATTCTAGAAGAGACACCCACATTGGCTGAATCTCAGCTGCAGTTGAGCGAACGTGGGAAACTAGAGGAGAAATGGTCAAAGCAAGGTTGACTCGTACTGTCTCCTATAAGCCATCTCTAATCTCCTTGCCTTCAGAATCTTTTTTCTTTTGGGGAAGGGTGGGTTTATCTCCAAGGTTACTTTATTCATAAAAGCAGAGTTCTGATGAAGGGACTAGACACAACTAAAAGATTTGCTATGTAACCTTCCGTTTTAAAAGAAGTAGTGAATCCAAACCTAGAAGAGTTGGAATACTTAAACCTTTTTACAGGGAACTTTTCAACTTACTATACTTGCAAATGACCTGTCACCCTAAAATTTCCAAGTCCAAAAGAAACCCTGTGGGCATCACTTGCCACGCATGCAGCAGGACATGACCCATTACATAGCTTGAGGAGATAACCAGTCTTTCTTACTGGTTTGGTAGTCATGTTCCACCGGACAGATGTTGACAAGATGCCTGCTCACAAACGGACATTAACACAACTGAGGCACTGCTTCTTTTTCCATTTGTTTCTGTTATCTGGTACCGAGGGATGAATGATAGATGAAAGATGTTGAAGAGGTATGTATTAGTTTCCTATTGCTGTAACAGATTATGACAAACTTAGTGGCTTAAAAACAACACAAATTTATTTTACAGTTTTGGAGGTCAAGTTTGAAACGGGCCTCACTGGGCTAAAGTCAAGGTGTCGGCAAGGCTGTGTTCCTTCTGGAGACTCCAGGTGAAAATCCGTTTTCTTGCCTTTTCCAGCTTCTAGAGGCTGCCTGCATTCTTTGGCTTGTGGCCCCTTCCATCTTCAAAGCCAGCAATGGCTGGTCCGATCTTTCTCACATTACATCACTCTGACACTTCCTCTTCTGCCTCCCTCTTCCACATATGAAGACCCTTGTGATTACAATGGGCTCATATGGATAATCCAGGATAATCTCCCTATTTTAAGGTCAGCTGATTCACAACCTTAATTCCATCAGCAACCTTAATTCCCCCTTGCCATGTAACACAGCATATTCCCAGGTTCTGGGGATCAGGACGTGGACATCTTTGGGAGGAGGGCCATTATTCTGCCTACCACAGGGTGATTGGGGACAGTGGCCACAGCCCTTGAATCCTTCTCCAGGTCCTGACAGAGTTGAGGAACAGTAACCTTCATGCAAATAGAGACTGGCGGCCTTCTTTTTAACATTCCTACATCTACTAGTGATGAATGTGCTCAAACGTTTCTCTAGAGCCTTGATCCCCACAAGAGAAGCA